TAACAAGACTGATTAGAGGAATGAAATTAAGTGTCAGTTTCAGTATGAGGAGTGACTGAGCTGATTAGGACTCTTCAGCCTGGAAAAAGGATGTTACATAAATGAGGTTTGCAAGATCAGAACCAGTGTAAAAAGGATGACTGAGGTTGCAGTCCTCGTGGTCTCTTCCAGCATAAAATCTTGGGATCATCAAAAAGCAAGCTTTAAAAAATCAGAAAAGTGTGTTGGTTCATGCAACAGGCAGTAGACATGGGAAAGGTCTTGCCAAAGAATGTTGAAGTTGCAGCAACTTTCAGGATGGACAGGTCTACAAATAGATACTAATTGAGGATTACTAAACAGACAGCCTGCATCAGGTTTATATCCCCTGAGGTGGAAATAAGAGTCTGGAAAAACATTCAGGGGGATTGTTCAATATGTTCGTCCTATTTCTTCTTTTGCCTTGTTGTCTGCTTCTGGTCTCTACTACAGATGGGGTGCTGGTAGACAGACCATTGGTCTGAACTAGTTTGGTTTTTTTATATATTATGTTCCAAGAACCATTTAAAGCATAGTTAGGTGATGAACTTAGTAAGCATTGTGATCTGCTCATGGTAACAAACTGGAAATGTTTGAAAGAGTTGATTCAGAAATAAGTAATGCTTTCAAACATGCTTCTCAGAAGAATAGTTCTAAGTTTATGTGGTCTATGGGACTGCAACAGGCCAAAATAGTAACTAAAAAATAATTACAGATATTATGAACACCAAAAAAAAAAAAAAATTAATCAAATGCAATCAAATTGGAAAAAAAAGCAAATATAGAATTTCTTACAGTTTGGCCTAAATGTTAATTGTTCTTTTTCATAGAATGTAGACACTTCTCTGTTAAAGAGGAAAATCTATTTGGTGCTGTGTCCTTTGGACTAGTTGCCAAGCGACAAAAGTCTGAAGTTTTTGTACATTCAGTGGAGCTGTATCTTGCCTTGAGAGGTGCAATATTTGCATCATTTACAGCATGTGCTCTGTTCAAGACTGTATCACTTGATCTGATTAGTGTCGTTGCTGGCCTCTGTCTGCTGCAGCTGTTACCTCTCTTTGTTCAGTTGTATCATTCCTAAGGAGAAATTAATTTCATCAGCAAAACTGTTGAAGTCTTGTCATGGAGTCGTCTCTGAGAATTGTTTGCAGATTTATATTGCTCCTGAGATGATCTCGCTCTGTCAAAAAACACTTACTGGCACTTCTGCTTTATTGATAGCTGGAATATGTCTTACTGCTTTTTGCTTATTTTCCTGTATAGTTTGAAACTGAAAAATAATGAGGGTCTTTTTTTATCCCTAAAAGAACAGAACCATTAAAGAGAGTCAACAGCTTAAGAGGTTTTTTGCAAAAGGACTCCTTTGAGTAATTTAATTTGCCAGCATTCTCACAGTGATTGCTTGAAATTTGGGGGCTTATTGTAGAAGAAGGATACTTCAGTCCTTTTTAAGATAATAGCTGTCCTCTGATTGTCAGTGGTAGCTCATCTTTGCAGTGGATTTTGGTGGTGTTTGAAGGAAGAAAATGAGTTACTTGGTTTTGAAGTTATGGTGGCAGAGCCTGTTAGTTTCAGTTGGAATAAGACAGCGCTATTGTGCAAAGAATAGTACCAGCCCTCCAGCCACAAGTGTGCCAGCTTCTTTCCTGGTGGGAACACAGCTATTAATGCCACTGCTGTAGGCACTGGATGGGTAGTAGAGAACTGAGCTAGTTAGTTAAAACTAACCCAGCAAAAAATAATTATTAGGTGAATTCATTGTAAAAAACATCATGGCACGTAAGAGACCATGCTGGGCAGGTCGCAAAGGGGGATGATCTGAGGCAGAAATGAATGCTCAAGGACAGGGGAATGGGAGGGCTCTTTTCTTGTGGCAGTTTTGAGTTAAACTGATTTGAAATAAATTGTGAAACTCTGCTGTGAAGTTTGGAATGTATTGCATTTGCTCTTTTACCTTGAACCCTCTACTTTTAAGATGTAAGGGTTTTATTCTAGATGATCTTATGGTCCTTTTCAACCCTAACTATTCTATGATTCTGGAAAGAAATTGAATGGAGTTTCTTACAGCATCATTTCAAATTAGTCAGCTCTGTATACAGGAAGATTTTGCAACGAAGATACAGTACAATCCTTGTAACAGCTACTTAGAGAACATGGGAGAATAACAAACATCACTTATATAAAGAAGGTGACAAAAGAGTGAAATTGTCTTTTTTTGATAGTATTTTGGTTCCTGTTACCAGACTTGCCTTTTAATTGGATTGCAAACTGCTTTGTGACTTGTGAAGTGTTTCGTAGGTTATTTAGGGAAACGTTAATTCTTGCAAACGTTTCCAAAGACAAATACCACTTTTGACTAGTTTTTACTCTAATGCTCATTCAGCAGCCAGGGTCAATATGCCTTCATTATAAATTTAGCATAGTAACCAGTAACTCTCTTCTGAACTTATTATATGCTTACTCTAATCTTTCTGGAAAGTCCAGTTCTCATCATTTAAGCCCATATGCTTTGCTTTCCTCCAATGCTCTAGAGAACAGAGAGATGCAGAAAATCAAATTAACTCTGAGGTCAGAAAATGAGTACTGTCAGTTGAAGAGCTCCTGTCTCCTGGGCTTGTTGCAGCATTAGGTTGAAATTTTTGAAATTTCACTGTGTCGCTGATGGTGAACAGACCTTGCCTGCAGGCTCTGTGAAGTGAACCTGAATTCAGGTGGACACAGATTAATGTAAACTTCAGTAGAGGCAGAGGGGAAGCTGTAGACGTTTTATGGGAGATCAGTAAAGGAGGGGAAAAAAATCCTCTAAAACTCACAAAACCCATAAAACGAAGAGGTGGTACTTTCCCTTTTGAAATCCACAAGCAAATTTCCTAGCTCTTCAGTGAAGCAGAAAGAAATCTAACAACAAAAAATACTTAGGCCAGCTATGCAGAAACATCTGACAATTTTACAGAAGTTTCTTCATTTTTAATCTGAATAATGTGAAGTATGACTCATGTCCTTTCTGTTCTTTTTTTTTTAATTATTTTATTTTACATGCATTTCAAAGCTTAGTAAAATGGAATATGTATGTCTAAGTATGCCTAACACCAAAGTGCTCATAAATTACACATTTGCAGATGACAGCTCTTGCAGGTAAAGTGGTTCATCCAGATACAGTGCCAAAGTGAGACATGAGCAGCAATTGGATTTTCTGATTTCTGAAACATACAATTATTCTTGTATATAAAAGGAAGCTGCATGTATGCCAGTAACGTATTAAGAGCTGAAATGAATTTACTGTCATAATTGCCCCAGGAAGGTCTGCATTTTACAGATGGTAATAAATTCATTTAGCATACTACATCATCTTTAAGGTGCAGAGTAGCTGAAGCATGCTGTTGATGAAAGTTCGGGTTAATGTTTTCGGTCTAGAGACTTTAAGAAATGATTCTTAAGTTTTTCCAACAGAAGTAACAAACATGAGTCTTCAGAGACTTAAGTGACTTCACCTGGGCCACACTCGCCACAGATTAGGATCCCCTGTGCTTTTTTTCTGGTTAGTTGAGACAGACACAAAGAAAGGTGAAGAGGGGGGGGAGGAAAATTAAATTAGGTGTAGCTTCCTCACTTCTGCTTGACCACTGGCACCTCACAGCTGTTCAGCACTGTGTGATGCCTTCTCCTACCAGCTTACTAGCTGTTTGTGCTAGATGCAAGGAGCTAGAGAGATTCTACGTCTTTTACAGTTACATGCTTTTTTGCTATTGAAATATGTTATGTATCAACTTGCAGAATGACATTAGACCAGGCCATACATGTTGGTCCATGATGATTTTTTTGTTACTCAACTACTGCATCTGTAATGAGTAATGGTCTTAACAGTGTAAAATTTTCTGACAAGCTGCATAGAATCATAGAATAGTTAGGGTTGGAAAGGACCTTAAGATCATCTAGTTCCAACCCCCCTGCCATGAGCAGGGACACCACACACTAAACTATGTTGTCCAAGGCTCTCTCCACAGGCATGGAAGAACTCGAATTGAAATTTGAATAAAATTTAGCTAAGGATAAAAAAAAATTATGCTTGTCAGAAATGAAATGTGAAAACTGTAAATTAGGCAATTTTGGATGTTTTCTTATGAATAAGAAACAGTTTTGCAGTTATGCCCTAACACAGTTAAATTCACAGCAATTTATTCTGGCTGTTGGTATCTTTTTTTTTGGGTTGTTGTCTTTCTTTTGGTTACCATAATGAGACTGTCTTTCCTTCTTTTATAGTCTCGGGGGGAAAATTTAAAATAACTGATTAAAAGTAAATCTTTCCTGTAGTTGTAGATACATATTTTAATTTCAAGTGAAGCTGATGCTTCATTTACCTGCCAGATGCCTGCCTTGCCTCCTGTATGCTGAAATGTAGTTTTGGGGCATTCTTATAGAAGTTAAGACCCTGTTAATTTTACTATAGTACAGAAAGCATATTTATGGGAAAAATAAGGAGATACTCAAGGACAGGTTTAAAATGTTTTTGACAACTGAGATGTAATTGTACCACAGTTTCTGTTTGATAGGAAAAAGATTTACTCAGAAATTTAGATTAAATGCTTCCTTCTAACAGATTATTCTGGATATGCTCAGGTTTTTTCTCTTTTTGGTTTTGTTTTGAAAGGACCTGACAAGTTGAATTAAAATGCTGAAAACTTTGTGTCAACAATGAAGAGTTTCAGAAATTGAGACACCTTCTTTATAGCGCAAGAGGACTTCTATGGGATGGGTCTAAGATTTAAGAGACCAACAAGGCAGTGGAAATTGGCTTGATAAAAGCGTAAAGCTTTAGTGGGAACAAATGTATCTTTAGTGCAACCAGGAGAAGTTATGTTTTCAGCTGTGTTACTTGTGGCACTAATGGCTTTGCGATTTTCAAAAACAGCTTGTGTATATCTTTATAGTTCCCAGAATCTTATCGCCATTAAAATTTAACAGAGTTTCTTTGATTGTTTTAGAGGTGTATTTGATGCTTCCCTCAAAATGGCTGGGTTCTATGGACTCTACACTTGGCTGACTCACACTATATTTGGGATTAACATAGTCTTCATACCATCTGGTAAGAATTTGAGCAATTACAATCTATTTATAGATAATAAGATTACATATTTATTTATTGTACTAGATAAGTATGATTAAACATTGCTGATAAGATTAGTCTTGAAGTCATTTTTGGAGAATGGCCATATGCAGGGTGAAGTCCCTGATTGCTGTCCTACCCCTGCGTGTTGCCTTTCTCTGTTTTCACATGTCCTCTACCAGCTATTTTACTTCTCCTGTCTGTTTCTTTTGCAGGATGTAATTCTTCCTTCTGTTCAGTCTGAGTCTTTCCAGGTTTTAACTTCATTCTGCATGCCTTGTCTTTTGTTTCTTCTGTGGTTGACAGGTGCTGATATTTCAAGATGTCCAAATTCAGGAAGATGTGATATCATGAAAATGCATGATGGAGGCGTGCTGCTTATTGTCAGTACTGTTGCCTGACTGTATCATCAGCTTCTGGTTTTCTTTTGTTCTTTAATCTTAGGTTTAGAAATGGCTGAACAATTTTTACTGAAAAATCTTCTCGTCTGTTCCTTTCTGCTTCTCTTCAATTAAAAATAATACAATGATAATAAATTTTAAAATGTTGTACCTTCATGTACAAGGGAACAAAAGGGGAAGTTATAAAGCAACAAGTGTAATAGGAAATGGCTCTATTATAAAATGCAGCTACCTTAAAGGCATTGGTTGTCGTTACACCTACTTAGAAGGCAGTTGTTCTTTTTCTTTCAGCTACATGTGAAATCTTAGAAGTTTTTGCTTTCTGGTTAATGAGACCAAAAGAGAAAAAAAAACTTAATTATTCATGTGATGTTCATTCCTGTTGCATTGGATTAGAATGACAGCAGTACTGTATCACTTTAGATTGCAATGGGTATTTGTGTAATTTGTATGTTTAGAAGAGCATACTCTCCTGTGTGTACACGTGTATACAGAAATACATGAGACATGGATTTTATATTTGCCTGGTTTCTCACAGTCCTACCTGCATTATTATGGTTGAATGCAGGAGATCTGGTAAGGCACAATGAGTTTTCTGCTTGTGTATTTTCTTGCACACAGTTGCTCGTTTGTAGCTGTGTGAAAGCTTGAAACATGCATAACTGGTATAACTGTATTTTTTTTCTGAATTGATGCCTCTTTTGGAAGTAACTCCTTATGACTGGCAGTTGGTGAAGCTTTTTGGTATGGGGAATACTGTAATTTTCTTTTTTTCCTAAACCACAGCTATAAAACACCAAAAGCTTTATGCAGCACTTCTTCAGTATCTTATTTACAACAGTTGATAGAAGTGGGACTACTGGTGTGGCAAAAGTGTCAGAATTTAAGTGTAAATGTATTTGTGAAATATGTTTTTCTGGTCTCTTTCTCACCTTTGCTTCTGTGTGCTCTAGCATTAGCAGCAATCCTGGGAGCAGTGCCATTTCTGGGTACATACTGGGCAGCCATCCCTGCAGTCCTAGATTTGTGGCTTGTGCAAGGACAGGGATGCAAAGCCATTTTGCTCCTGGTTTTTCACCTCTTGCCAACCTACTTTGTAGATACAGCAATTTATTCAGATATATCAGGGTAAGTACATTGGAGGCTTTGTAAACAGTATTGTAAAAATGATTAATGATCATTGACACCTTTAATTAAACTTACTTTTCTGAAGCGCACAGGACAGTGTCTCCAAGCATAGGTATCACCTTATAGTAAAAAGTCTTTATTCCTAAGTGCCTTTACTTTGCCAGGCCTCTTTTCTGTGAACTTTGTCACTTAAGGTCTTGAACTCATTCTCAAATTCAGCAAAATCAACTGTTACCATTGGCAAAGTAATTCTAAGAATGCCTTTTCTATTTATCCAATCATCGACTAAAGACGTGTAGCATTTCCTTTACCTGGCCTCATACCAGATGATGCAGCAGAACAAACTAAAAATCCATGAGCTGGTTGGGGACCTGAAAAAAATACTTCAATTTTTCAGAATGGGTTGTGAGAAACGTGAGGATTTGTTTGAAACCAACCTTTGTGTTGTGTCACCGCACCCCACTGTAAGAGGCTATTGATTATGGATTGATCTTTAAATGCGTAGAGACAGATAAAATTGCAAACTGGAGATAGGCTTCTACAGAGACAGTAGCCAGTGCTGTTTTCCTGTTGTGGGAGGTAGGCACATACTGCTTGAAGAATCTTGCTAGGTGTTTGGCTGCCTCTGTTGGCTTGAAATGTCTCCTGGTTTCAGCGCTGAGATTACAGGCAGAAAAACAAACTCCAAACTATAGAGAGCAAGACATGTTCACAATCACATACAGACTAGATAAAAAGTTAACTAGTTACTGCTTCACTCTTGAGCATCAAAACAATCCTGGTAAACTGTTTGAACTGAGGATTTTGTGGTCCAGGCTTAGTTACGTGCAGGTACTAGTCCTTCATTTTTGCTGATTTTTATTACAATAGAGTTAGCGTAAAGTAAGGACATTGGACATTAAGTGCTTCCGTTCTGTGTTGTTAGAAATTAATATTTTTGTTCACCGAATATGATTACACTGAACAGAGAGACCTAATGATAATATGCACAATATTAATACTAATTTTCATTGACTGTGGCACTTGTTATTTTGCATGAATTAAATGTAATTGGTGAAGTATAATCAAATTACGATTTTTTTTCAAACAATAAATTGTGGATAAATTTAAGGCTAGTAGCTATTAAACCAGACAATAATTATTCTTATTATTAGAATACATTTTTTGACTGTAGGGGATGCAGGCTTTGTTTACTGTCCAGAAAATGCATGTGGCAGGAATAGATTTTCTGACAGTGGAGCAAAATTGTATTTTTCTCATTAAACAGAACATCATGCTGTCTTGAGGATTAGATTAAATATATTTGAAATAGCTATAATTAGGTTATGCAGGGTTTTCCAAATGCATTAAACTTATACTGTAGCCCTGTTTCATCAGGTGATCTGTTGTTTAATTTAGCAAACTAGCCAGAAGAATGTTTAAACTGATGCCAAGGCTGGATAAAATTTAGAAATAAATCATGTGTCTACTGTTGGAGAAGCATTAAACTTCAGGGTCAAGTCAGTCCCCTCAGAAAAGCAGTCTGGCCTTACCAGATTAGGTTAAATTTGGTCTAGGTAAGATATGATCGAGGTGTGTGTGATGTTACAGGTCTCATTCCACACACAGTTGTGATGAAGGCAAAGACTGTCAGTGTGGGAATTGGGTAGAAGTCAGGACCATAGTAGAAATCTGGCAAGAGACTGCCAGAGCTCTAAACCAACTATCTGGTATTTTCACTCCATTACACTCAGAATTTAGAGCAAGTTCCTGAAAATTAGGTGCTAAGTTTCAACGGTAGCTTTTTTATATAATTCCATATTAGTATCATTATTTTAACTGTAAAGATTAAGCATGATGAGCAGGTTTTGTGTAAATGCTGTTGATAGGATTCAGGTGGTGCATCCGAACTGAATCATGGAAAAGAACAGTGCATGGCTTACTTGCTGCCATAATAGCTCGTTCCAGAAGCTCCATTGGCCCCAACTTTCCAGTAAATATGTTCATAAAAATCTGGGTTTTTTTTGCATCTGAAAACATTAAAAGCCTAATGATAACAAACACTCAGTCTGAGAGGGTGTTTTATAACAAAATGAGAAGACATGACTATGTATTTAAAGAATGTATGCTAACTATTCTTTGAAAGATGCAATGCAAGTTGCTATCATCATGTAAATTAATGTGTGTGCTTAGGGTTGGCTATGGTACATGTTTCTAGTTGTCTAAAACAATTCTTGACCATAAAGCATGAACAGTTTTTGTAATCATCATCTTTCCATTTTCAAAATGGAAATGTTTTTGCCATTAACTCCTTCAGACATTCTTCAGCATATGTCTATAAAGTAGCTACTCCATTGTGGATATTACCAGCATTATATGCTACAATACACTGTTTGATCTGTTGTGCAAATAGCACACCGAATACAGCTTGGAATATTTGTGCTGGCATTCAAACAGCAGATCAGTGTAACTACAAGTATCTATAGCTAGCTGTGTCATTTTCTAAGCTTAATAAAACTTTGTGATTAATTCACATTTCATAATTGATAGTATTGTTTGTTTTTCTCAATATAATTCTGTTCTTTCTGTGCCATCATTCCAGAGGTGGCCATCCTTACCTGACAGGTCTTGCAGTAGCTGGTGGAGCATATTACCTGGGGCTGGAAGGAGCCATCATAGGACCAATTCTACTTTGTATACTTGTGGTTGCTTCCAACATATATAGTGCCATGTTGGTGAGTCCAACAAATTCAGTGCCCACTCCATCACAAGCAGCATGGCCATTACAGATTTACCGGTAAGTTATAAATGTCACATGTGTTACGTTTTCACATGGGTCAGCATATGTACACATAAGTAAAGAGAGTGTGTGCAGGAGTTTTATATATGAGTGTGCATAAACATCTACATGCCTATTGGAGTATTTGGAGAGGATTCAGCTATCCCATATTCTAGAAATAAAAATTATGGTAAAACAAAATACTCACTGGAACTTGTAAACTTGAAATGTTTGTTTAATGTTGCTCAGCTTCTTATAGAAGGCTCTTTCAAAAAGTTCACTGATTATACCTTTGTATCTTGCAATTCATATATTGCTGTTGTGCCAGGAGATAACGGAACATCCTTTTTTCTGTGTAAAACTATTATTAATGGATATCTAGTAGTCAGTATTCATTGTTATTAATAAGAGGCCTGCCTGCAAATATTCCATTTTTGTGTTACTGTACAATACTGCAAAATCTAAATAAGCATACTTGAATTTAACAAATGAGACCATATTATATTACATTATTCCATTAAAAATATGGTCTTGATCAATCTCTTTACTGAAGTTACCAAATGTGGAATACAGAAATGTATCTTTAAACTATGGTTAAGGAGTGGGCTGAATAAACTCCTAGTTGAATAATTATAGTTGGAATTGATATTGTGAAGTTATTAATGACAGTAGCCATTTTAATGTCTCTACTGTCTTGTTCAATTACATAGGTTAGCTCATTATACATACATCTTAAAGAGGTTTCTGTGCTTGTCAGAAATAATCCTTTGCTTCATTCACATGAATAATGTTGTCATCTTTCGTATGGGTAACTTAGGAGAAAAAAACACTAGTTGGACCTGTCTGTAGTCTCTGACTTGTAGAAGTTACATTCCAAGACTTGCGTAGGTAGCTTCCCAAAATATGTACAAAAATTTGCATCTGTGTTTGATTCCTGTTTAATTTGTAGGAAACTAGGTATTTGTAATCACTAAACAGATTTGAATCCTGCTTTTTCTTTATCCTCCCTTCCCCCAGGTCATCTAGAGAGAGTCCTGAGGACATTAAAACGGCTGCAGAGTGATGAAGGTGCTGTGCTGCACCTACTGAACATTCGAGAATCACTGTCTTCTGTCTGGAGTTCCCAACAGTCATGGCCTTCTGTCCCTTTCCAGCTGTGCTTAGGGGCAGCTCACAGGGAAGCATAGCACCATAGCTTGGGTTTTAACGGAAACCACTTCTTGAACATCAGCTGGCCTTATGTTATTATGCACCTTGCCTCCTCAGGAGAGAATGTCTACTTCCTGTGGCTTTGCATACCAACACAGTTCAGCTGCCTTGTTGGAACACCTTGAAGACCTTTGTCTTCATCAAAAGCATAGTTAAGAGGACAAGTATATCCACTGGAGTAGTAATTTGTCTGCAAAAGTTACTAACTTGGCTTTTATTTATTGGGTTATTTGTCTTATTAAATTGTAGTACCTTTAAAGAAAGCTAATTCCGAAATAATTTATTTTCAGTTAATCTGGTGTCAAAAAAAGGTGTAAACTACTTACTGATAAATGAAAGTAGAATATAATTATTTGCTGCTCCTCTCTTAGGAGGCTTTGACCATCATCTGTAACTCATAATAACGCTACACGCACTGAAATTTAATGTTGTTGGAGACTGGTATTTCTAATATCTTCCTGAAATTAGTAGACTTGCAAATTGTTACATGTGTGTTTTCCTCATATTGCAATAGGAAGACTTACTTAAATAGTTTGAATCTTTTCCTCATTTGCAGTGAAATCCGTCAGTATTTTGCTGTTTACCCACTATCCCAGTGGAGTCATCTTGTCAACTGAACTTAATCAAAGACCTTAAATGTTTTCAGGCAGAGGTAATGTACCTCATCTGCTCATCTGGAAGTCACATCTACTTCCAGTAATAGGAAGAAGTTGAATGGGGATTGTTGAATGTTGGTTTTCAAGTGCTGTGGCGGAGTTCAAACTTTTCAAACAAATTTATTTCCAAAGAGGAAGGGGAAAGAGCATGAATTTTGGTTTAGTTTAGTTTGAGTTGAGGTTTTTTTCCCCTATAGAACCTGGTGAAATACCATAATAAGATATATATTAAGACAAATCTTAATAATAAATGGAGTTCTTAAATTCCTGAAATGGTGTGTTGCCTAGGTCACAGTATCAAACTCCTCTAGTGCATTTCTTCCATATGTAATTTTGCTTAAATTGCAGTTTTAGTGACATTTAAGGCCCGTTGTATTGATTGTTGAAATATTTTGACACAATGGATCTTTATAAATGTATCCTTCCTATAAATAGGAAGTTGGGGTTTTGGTAGAAATTTCATACTTGAACAGCTTTTCCACAATTACAGTGAGGCCCTGGGTACAAAGTAGCAAACCTGCATGCTTAACCAAAGAACCACCTTTCAGTTTCTAGTAATGTCTCTTGAATTTATTTCAGAGTTTGATTGAAAAAGAGTTACATGAGATCCAGGCGTGTCTTCAGTTTGTTATTGATGGTAATGCAACTGTTGGAGCAAAACCCTATTCTTATCTAGGGATAAGGGTATCTAAGATTTGTGTACAAACAGCTCTTGGTAATGTGGGTGTTTGTTTTACTTGAGTTGCAGAAGTGCTGGTAGATTTGGCAGGCTCTTATTTTAATGATATTGCATGTATTTTTCGTTGTTTCTGAAAGTACGTTGCCAAAGAAAGGAATTGGACAGTACTCTGATACTTTCTAAGCAAGGAAGGGCTGCTATAGGTTTGCAATAAACAGGCTGCCTATTAAGACACAAATAGCCAACTCCTCCAGTTCTCAAAATTCGCTGCTGCAGTTTCACTGATGAAATTTTATGCTTAAAAGGGGGGGGTTGAGTATGATAATTTTACATCTGCAAACTTGCAGGTATGTGTTTGCATGACAGACTCAGGCTTAATTTAGTGGTTTGACTCGAGTCATTGAAATACAGAAACATGCCATTTCATATTTTAAATTCTGAAAGATCTACCCATCAATTCCAGCTAACTGAATAGGAAGGATATATTGCTTGAACTAAGTAACTGTCCGGTGCTTATTTATTTCCTTGGTTTTGTGGCTCACGTAGAATCTTCAGTGAAACACATACTTACGATTGCTGCTGGCTAGAGTGGAGGATGACAAAGAACCTGAGGGTGTCTCTTAAGTATTTCTGCAACATTCTAACCAGCTTGAATACTGTGATACTTGGGAAATTTCATTGTTATATTGCTTTCTTGTAGTTTACAGTTTTGCACTGAAATGTTGCGTTCTCACTATAGCTTCTTGTTGACAGCATTTAAAGATTACTAGCAAGAAATATGCATTTTTAATGTATTTCCAGTTTTCCATTGCTCCTCTTTTCTCACTGGTCAAGACATTTGTATTGTCCACATTTGCTATCCCAGTTATTTCCGAGACAATCTTTCAGATTCCTATAGTACTCAGTATAATAATTTAAGAATGTCATTATAAAGCATTCTTTTGTTTCTAAGTTTTCTTCTTCTCCCTCCCACTTTGCCTGACCTCCTTAAATCAAAGAAGGGTCTCTGCTGTGAAAACTGAAATGGCATTTCAGACACTGTTAGCTAATGGCAAATCAGTAACATCAGCGAGAATATACGTTCTTACTATGAAATGTTCCTTTCCCAGCATAAAGATAAACCATTTTGTGTAGAGAATTTTTATCTGATATAGTCTTGCTAGTTTGCCCTCCTTTGCCATGAGGCTCCATATTGATGCTTCCTGTTTCAAATTCTTCTAAGACTTGCCATGAAGAGCCATCCATAGTACAGTCTTTCTCAGAAAAGGTAGCTTAAGGAGCTTATGCTATGTGCCATGCCTGGTGGAGGAACCAATTGTATGGTTCAGTGGTGATATAGTAACAGTATGGTACAGTAACAGTAATACTGTTGGAAAGAAGAAACAAACCCACCAATTAATACCTTCTTACAATATGAAATATTCATTGGATTTTGCAATGCTTAAAAAAAACCCCAAAACAACAACAACAAAAAAACCCTACAAAACACTAGCTTATGAAAAAGCATACCTTGATTATTTAAGAGTTTAAGTGTGTAATTACCAGTAGAAATAGAAGAACTTGTCCTTGCATATTTAACAATCTATATTCTTTTCTGAAAAGACTGAGCCTGTTTAAGAACAGTTTAGTTTCGATCAATCTCAGATTAATGTGAAAATAATCAAACCGGTCATTTTGACTTGCAGTCATTGTAATATACCACTTCCTGGTTATGTTGCCTCATCTGTAAAAGCACCAGCAGCTCCCTAGCATAAGGTTTAGATGGCTTGTGGG